AAGAGCGCGACCACACACACACACACACACTTGTATATATATACATATATTTTTATGAAAGTAACACTTGTAGTGGTATGTGTGTGTGAAAGCGAAAAGCTCTCATTTAATGTGAAAAAGTAAACAGTGAGATTGTGAAATTGAAAGAAATTGTAAAAAGTAGTGGCAGCTGTAGGGGTGTGGGCGGGTTTTACTTTCAACATTTAAGGTTGAAGTGGTAAATTTTATGCATCGCTGCGCTTTACATACCTATAGACAATCAAACTCGTTATTATGAACTTTTTAATATAGCGACCTTTTGTAGGGGTGGAAAATTAGAGGCATAAACTTGAAATCAAATCATTTGACTTATTAGGTATTTTTCGCAAGAATATTTATTGTTTGCCTTTAATCGTGACTGTGCCAATCCATTTTCCCGAAGCAGGTATGCTATACACTGGAGATTTTTCCACGAATTTATCATTAATTTCATTCGCTATTTTGTCAAGAACCACTTGGTAGAAACTGCTTTTCCTGTTGAAGATAGTTAATGTCAAGGTGTAAAAAAAATGTTTAATGCACGAGACCTTTGCTTTGACGGAGCTTTTGAGTTGTATTGTTACCTGCAATGTCTTCCAGCGCAATCTACACGCCATCCGCAAGAAAACAATTTTTTTACGAAATGGTCTTTTCAATCTTTAAGAACATATCCACGTAAGAAGTTAAAAAAATCGAATTTTTGTTCCTATATATCACATGTAACTATATATTATGGGTACAAATTTATTTTTGAAAACATTCTACGCAAATTTTCAGTTGCTCCGTCAAACAGTTTTGCGGATATGAACGTATTTGTAAACATTTTTTAACTCAAAGTAATCGGTTCCCAAATTTTTAAACACGTTTTTCCCGAAACGCTATTTTTAGAAACGGTAAAGAAAATTTCTCCGAAACGGCTGAACCGATCGACTTGACATTTTCACACGACTTTCTCAGATATATTTGACACGAAGTTTTTAAAGGAGTAAGGTTCTTGATAATCATTTAAATTTCTAAAAACAAATGTAAATTATTCACAATTATTAAGAGTCGCCATTTTGTCGAAAATCTTAATTCTAAACAGGCCTTCGTCATTGCCTGTATTCATCTAGTATTACAATAATATTTCTTTTAAATTTTAAGATTTGAGATAAATTCAAACAGAAACATCTTCCTTACGCCAAACACCTTTTTCGGTGGTCTTTCTAGTGATCGGCTACGCAATCAAGGAAATCGAAAATAAATCACTTATTATAAAAGTACGTTTAATTTTGTAAACGTTTAATATTTTTATTTATTTATTAAATAAAATTACTCTTCGAAAAAATTTAAAAAAAAAACGCAATTTTTCTGACTGACAAATGTATATGTAATAACGCCTTAAGCGAGAAAACTGACGTTGGAGAAATTTTTGAGGAATCCTGTATTCTTTTATACTCTGAACAAAATATACAAAGTTTTGTTGTTTTCTAACACCCAAAAAGAAACGTCAGTAACCTCATAAAGTGTATATATAAATGATCACCGTGACGAACGGAGTCGATTTGTATGTTCGTCCGTCAGTCCATCCGTCTGTATATACGCAAACTAACCACTTAGTTTTGAGATAGTTGTCTGAACTTTTGCACACTTCCCCTTCTCACGAAGAGGCTTCACATTTGTCGGAACAGCCGATATGATAGGCGTCATTCAAACTGACCGATCAAAATCAGAATAAAGACCTTTTTATACCCTTTCATGCTATAACAATGCACCTGTTACGGGTATTAGGCTACTAAAATACTGCTCTTGGAATAAAGTATGTAAAGTGGTTGGTAACGATATGGGTACATTTAAACAAGCTGATAAAAAAATAGGGAGAAAGATGTATGATGCCGGCAAGACAGCTCGTCGGCTTGAATTGGAAATCCTAATACAAACAAGGTGCATTTTTTGATTTTATCGATCAATTTAAATGACAACTATCTGTTGTAGTGATCCGATCTGAACAATCGTATCATATAAAAAAAATTTCCATACAAGAACTTGAGTTTGGTCGGTCAGTTTGTATGGCAGCTATATGCTAGTATCAGCAGTTCCGAAAAACGAGTAGCTTCTCAAGGAGGGAAGAGTGTGTTCAAAATTTCAGGACGATATCTAAAAAACTTAGGAACTAGTTCGCGTATATACAGACAGACATTAGAACATGCCTATATCGACTCAACTCGTCACGCTGATCATTTATATATCATATATCGCATCAAACGAATAAGTTCGGGGTCGAATTGCGGTGAGTTGATGTCAAGCTAGGATTGACGGAAAATAATGTTTTGCCATGTGTTTGATAAGATCGGCAGAGAAAATCTACTACGAGCTGGTTTATATATGGTCAGACTCTTAATTCGGGCCCTGTAATGTCAACAATTGGGCCGTCTGAAAAACGCAATCGCTCAGAAGCGACCAGCTTTGAGCAGTGGCTGAGGAATTGTGTTCCAACAGGACAACGCCAGGCCAAACACGGTGATAATAGCTCGTCAGAAGCTCCGGGAACTTCGGTGGAAGGTTTTCATTAATCTACCTCACCTCACCCACAATCAATTACTAAAAAATATTGATCTCATAAAAAATTAAGTCTATATAAGGCGTGTAAGCCTGGCATTATATTTCGATCGTTATAGTAGTAGGCCTTTCGTTCTGAATCCAGCAGATCATATTATTTAAATTGCTAAACACAAAAACGATTTTCTCTGGGCGTTTGACAAATTCTCTTGCTAATTTAATTAAATTTTTAATAATACATAAATAAACTCACATTTAAAATATCTAAAATATTTCATTTAATTTCTTTGGATGTATTTAAATTAATTTAAATTTTTGTTAGATTAGTGAAATGCCTTGAACTTCATTTTGTTTAGTCGAATGTTTAATTGCATTTGTCTAGCAATTACTTACACTTTATTGCGGATTTGCACAAATTCTATATTCTATAAACAAAACACATTTCATTTTTCCCAACATAGCATTTACTGTTACGTGTTTATTCCATTTGCAATATATATTATATTAAGTATGCATGTCAATAATAAGCAAAAATCAACTGCATGCACCAGTGCACATGCTTGGTCGCCTTAAGGTAGGCAACATCAATAATAAATTCAAGAAAATTTATAATTAAAATGCGTTTATTTGAAAATTACCAGCACTCGCTTAATTCATTACCAATCAAAATTTAATTATAAATTGATATTTGCTCTGACTTTTACTTAAATGTTAAATAAGTCTGCATTTCATTTGCAAATGTATTGTTTATTTGCTAATTTATACAGCTGCAAGGCGTGAAAGATTTCCGAAAATAATAGAATATATACCATATATTACATTTAATTTATTTATATGCTCAAAACTGTAAATAAATTTTTTGTAAGTAATGGAATATGCGAAGGTTAATAATTTTGTGTGACTTTATATTATACTTACATAACTTACAATATTTTATTATTGGTTAGTAAGAATTTGTTACTCAATAGAGCGTCAGTAATTATTTTACAACTGCTGAGTAACTGTGACGGTGCTTTTAAATACTGGAATTGCCGAAAGGTCAAAAATTTAACTTTTTTTTTGTTTAGATTAAAACGAATAATATGGCAAGTAATGCAATAGCAAGAATATTGTAGTTATTTCATTAACTCAAATTATATTGACGGAAGGCATGATTATAGTGCTATTTGTCTAAATATTTGTGAAAAAGTAATCAGACGTCTTTGAACAATTCTGAACGTTGACAATGTCATTTATAGTGTCATATGAATTCGTTTCTATAAAACAAAAAAGTTTACACCGTGTTTAAAGCTTATCAAGAATTGCATGCTAATGGTATTTATTATAATTTTATTTGGTTATTGGAACACCGCAAACTTTAAACGGGTTTGCTCGAAACCATATTTGTCAAATTCGCGTAAGGGTTTGCGGAAAAAGTAGTTAACCTTTTTCAACCAAAGTTTATTTTAAAGCACATAAAGGGACTACGGACTTTAAGAAACAAATTTCAAACCTTTTTTAAGGTGCGAAGAACCGAAATTGTTTGACAAAAAAGCCAACTTTTTTAGCTTCATTTTCATGATTAATATTTGAATTTTTTGTAGAACATAAACTATCTAGCATAAAAACACCCACGACTGAAATAATGTTAAATATTATAATTTTGGATACAAAATTGCGGTAAGAATATTACGAATTTAATAATTCCGAATTCAGCGGCGACACGACTTGCGGGAAACACCTTAAGTCAATTAACATACTACTATTCATAACTAATACTATAATAATACTGTTTTTGCCGATAACGATTTTTTTAAGAAAATCATCTTCTCCGATAAGGCTCACTTTCATCTGAGTGCTGCGATAAATAAACAAAACTGCCGATTCTGGTGCGAAGAAAATCCACAAATGTTTTATTAACAACCATTACATTCACCTAAATTGACAGTTTGGTGTGGTTTTTGGTCTGGAGGAATCAACGGCCCGTACTTTTTTCGAAATGAAGCTGGTGGCACCGTTACTGTCAATGGAGAGCGGTACAAATCGATTATAACCAACTTTTTATGGCCGCAATTGAAAAAAGTTGATCTTGACAACATCTACTTTCAATAAGACGGGTCTACGTGCCACACAGCACGTGCAACAACCGAATTATTGTGAGAAAAGTTTGGAGATGCAATAGTTTCAAGAAAATGTGGCAATGAATGGCCTCCAAGAAGTTGTGATTTAACACCATTAGATTACTTCTTGTGACATTTTTTGAAGTCATTGGTCTTAAGCAATAAACCAGACTCTCTTCGAGCTTTAGAAATCAATATTGAATGTGGTATTCATGACATACGACTGGATTTAGTGAAAAAAGTACTCGAAAATTGGGTTCATCGAATTCGTTCCTGCAAAAGTAGTCGTGGAGGCAATTTGAATGACGTTATATTCAGAACTTAATTATATCGATTGTACTTCACACTAAATTCAAAACATTTGAATTTTCTTAACAATCAGTTATTATTATTATTATTTTTTTTTTTTTTTGAAATCATATTACTCTTATTGCAATATCCTTGATATATGATACAAGTTTTTTGTGTGCCATTTTATTTTTAAATAAATCGCGAAAAGTACATTTTTTGCCTCTACGGTCGAAGCGCTGATTAATTTACCAAAATTTTTAAATCAGCGTGTGTTTTGATTGACGAACAAGCAGCAGTTTAACCGCATGTAAGTGTGTTTCTTTTAGCTTATGACAGTTATTTATTCGATTCGTTAAATTTTGAAGACTTAGGGACTGCTAGACAAATGAGTGAATTCCTGCGTAGTTTTCTGACCGTAAAGGAAACATGGATCCACTGACATGCACTAGAGATTAAGAAACACTCTAAATAGTAGACTACATCGATGAACGTACTCCAAAAACCACGAAGACTGTCTTATTGATGGCTACTATTTTGTTAGGCTTACAGGGTTTGCTCTACATCGAACAACTCATAAAGAACAAAACAATCATAGGACTTTACTTGTATAAAGGACCAATTACATTTGGTAAAGAGAAAAGTGCTCTTACACCAAGGCTTCAGAGGTGTTATTAAAAGTTTGACCATCGCTTTTTGTTGTCAAAATCCATATGGAAACTTCGAAATAATATATAAATTCCTAAGAAAATGTCACATAAAAATCTGAAATGTGAAATGTAAATGTATTTATTTTATTTTTTACAATTTATATTAACTGGGCTAAATTGGAAAAAATCATGGGATGATGGTCGAAACGGTAATCGAAATCCGATCCTGTGTAGGGATTTTTCGTTCGTGTTGCCTATCATGGACTATTATTAACCTTGGAAAGATGCCAACATTTAAGATCACCAAAACATCTACTGGGAGGCGAAGTCATCGAAATTATTATTACTGTTATATTTTTGTTTTTGAGTTTCAAACCATAAGTACATTTCACACAATACCTTCTTTGCGTAGAACACTAAAGCCATAAGGCAATTATGGTTGAATTGCCCAATTTTTCTTTCTTTAAACTCAGCCAAAATAAAGTAAAGTATTTCCTGAAAATTTCTGAAATGCCTAGCTTTCTTTCTTTTGCAACTGAAGGCAATTAACAACAGATTTCCAAAAGATTGCAAATATGAACAAGTAAGTAAAATGATTTTCAATTTTGCAGACCAAAGAAAAGTAAAACAAGCATAAACGAAATATTTCAAGTATACTTGTACAAAATAACAATAGGCCAAAAATTACTGGAGCCACAAATGTTGCAGCGCCCACATTATTATTTGGATAAAGTACGGCAGCAGCACAATGCAGCAGTCGTAGAGGGGTGAGCAATGGAGGATGTTTAATTTTCAAAAGACATTGCGGCATGCAACAACCAAAGTAATTTTCCAACAAATTAACCACACGAGTGCACGAGCGCGCACTTTGCACATGAGTTGGTCTTTTTGGACAACGTTCGAGCGCTCTAACTGGTGGGGCGAGTTGGTGGCGCGCGACTGTTTGGTGGTGGCATCTGTGTTTGTGTATGTGTGCGGGTGTGTTTGCAACAAAAAGTGTACCTTCTTTTTAAGCAAACTAGCGTACAAAGAAAATTTTAGTAAACACGTTGGACCGTCAGCGGTTGTATGCACCCCAAAATCAGCGACCTCGTGCCCGCATTTTCACTTGTTAGCGGTGGGAGGGCTGTATACTTTGACGTATGTAGGTTTGTTTGCGGTGTCGACTGCTGTTGACTGTTGTTAACTACCAACTACATGCTTATTTGTCTTTTGTTATTGTTGGATATTCATTTGTGGCACTGTTTTTGTTCTCACGTTGTTTGATGCGTGCAATTTGTGGCCCCATTGTTAGATAATACGTGTGTGGACCAACTCCAACTACTTAACTATTGAGTTTTACCAACAGCTTTCACGATTTACCGTAAAATTTGAGTTTACATAAAATTTGGTCAATAATTGTCAGTATTTCAATTCAGGGAACGGTTCAACTAGACTGCTGTTCTTTGTACTAACTAACCTATCTTCTCCCAACGTGTTCTCAAATCTCACTTATTTTATAGTTCTATGCTTTTTTACCTCTCTCGAATAATCATTTTCAAATATACTATCGAAATTTCTGGGTATTCAATTAAAATTACCCCTTGTTACTAGGAAAAAAAAATTTACCTTTTGCATTATATTTGTTCTCTCTCATTCAAGACTTTCCAAAGTTACTTCGAATATTCCAGAAATTCTTGACTTGACACTATGATTAGGAAGAAAATCTTCACCTTTGGACTAATGAGTAAAATTAGTATATGAATTTCCATTTACAGAGACGCCGATGGTGCATTAAAATAAAACGGTACATCGATACTAGTAAAAAATGTAATCATTTTTAGACATATGGATAGGATCACTAGGAAGTATGAAATCCTAAAGGCGCATCTGCTATCAATGGAAGGGATGCGTCTTCGAACTGCTGGCAGAGCTAAGTACTTAGAGCTTATCTAGCCAGGTGGCTCTCATGTAAACCCGATATCGAGAAAAGAACAAGGAAGGCATCGGTTATCATGTGCCAGGAGCCATTGACAAAAGGTGTTAACTCTCACAAAAGTAAGTACTCTGGCTCTATGAAACTATAGCCAAGTATATAATGTTCTAAGCAATTGTTGAATGGTGGAAGGGGCTGTAAAAAACTACACTCGCGAAATAATTGGCAAGTGTTCAATGGGTGGCTTTCATCAGTTATAAGTTATTTGGAGTGCATTACTAACCCCACCGACGATGGCTCTCAATGCCTTGCTGCATATAGCACCGACATAGTCGGGAGGTGTGTGGGCGCTAAAGCTGACCTCAAAACCCAGAGAATCTGGGTACTGAGATGACTGCGAGCCTGGACACTCTGCAATCCTCGCACACTTTGATTTCATTCCAAAATACTTGGGTTACCATGTCGCCGAGCATAGCACTGATTGTCGTTGCTCAGCTCATATACCTTCGAGGGAGGCATGGGAGGGAAGTACTCGCTCGAAGAGAGAGCGGCAAGCTTTTTTATGAATTTGTGGGGAGGGTTTTAAGCTTCCTGACCCTTGCAGCGATATTAGCTTTGATTACAAGAATAATGAAGGTATGGACACAGCGGTATTACAGGAAACTACAATTCTGATGAGTTTGCTAGGACAGGTGCTTCAGTCTCAATAATGTGGTATAAGAACAACTAGTACCTCCGTTGGCTTCGTGTGGTTCACTACTGGACTGTTGCGTACAGACAAGCTCAGCAAGCGTCGGTCAACTACCAGCAGCTGTGCAGTCGCAAGGACCTTGTCCCAGGGTATGTCGTAACTGAACTGTTAGTTTTCAGAAAAGTACACTTTTGAAAGGTTGTAGGAGTTCTAACTGGGCACTGTACGATCGGGGATCAAGCGATAAGATTGGCCATCTTACCGGATGCCAGCTGTTTGGAAGAATATGAGACAAAGTCATCTCAACAATTCTTCCTCGAATGTTCCGCCTTTGCCAAATTAAAACTAAAATACCTAAAATCTTATAGTTTTAGACAATCAGTTGAAATAGCGAAATTAGAAATAAAACAGCTACACAGATTTATGATAGGTTCAGGGCGTTTTGCCGATAACTGATATCCAACTACAGGTTTTTCAGCTGGCTTCTCAAAGTACTGACATATGTATGAAATTGCTATACTAGCTTTTGTTCTCGGGGTCAAATTCCTTCAACCAAAAAAATTATCAAGAAGAATCTGAATTGTGTGACAAACATTTAAGACGTTAGCTCCAACATTGAATCAGATAACGACAGTGCACCAAGGGGACCTTAAAAAATGTTGTATTAATCGGAAAAGAGCCAAAGAGAAACGTCGAGTATGGGTTCAGTCGAATTAGCCATGTTTGTATGTCCCTCTGTCTGTATATACCCGAACTAGTTCGTCGACCAATGAGTTATCAATCTGAAATTTCGTAAATATCCTTTACCTTACAAGAAACTGCATTTTAAGCAACTGCCGATCTCGAACCACTTTAGCATACAGCTGCCATACAAACTGACCGATCGAAACTAAATTTTTACTTTACAACTAATCAATGCCGAATTCTTTCCAAAAGATATTCGTGTGGGAAAAGTTAGTACTTAAAGTTATGCGTTGGAGACTAACCCTACGTAATTATACTCTACAGATTACTCTTTAAATATTATTTTCTTATAGTTTCATAGTTCTAACCATATCACTAACATTTTCATATGTGACATATGGTCTTTAATAAGACATATTTAAAGTACTCATCCTATTCACATCCTATTTACAATACTGATATTAGTTAAGAAACTCAAGCCATCCAATATCGCATTAAATATATTTCAGTGAACTGTAACACCAAAAGCCGTACGTGTATTGTTACATTCATTCGTCTTAAGTTCGCCAGGTCACGTGACCTTAATTAATGCCGAGGTAATTGTGCGTATTTCACAAGTTACTCCATGTTGATCAGAGACATACGTACACAGCAGTAAATAGAATTCACTGCCCCATACTCCTTCCTCCACCACAAACACATACCAATACACATACTCCGCTCATTATTCAAACCGTCTTTCACTTACGAGCGCCCAGGTCAAGTCAGCTGCGCATTTGTTGCATACAAGGTAGGCGGTTGTTTTGTGGAGTAGCACTTTTGAGTATTGCTGTTGTTGTTGTTATTATTTTCCTTAATAGCGCGTACAGCAGTGGCTTGTATTTGTGGGCGGCTCGCTGTTCGGTTTGATTTTTTGACGTCTCCAGCACGTACAATGGCCGTCGTGTGCATCACGTGGCCGCGTGGTAGTACGTGCATGCGGTTGCAAATGTCATTTTGACAAAATTTCTTTTAAAATTTAGTTGCATGTGCGTTAAGTGAAAATTAAAAGGCAGGCGACCATGTTTTTTCTTTTTTGTATGGGCGGAGTGCGGTAGGAATGTAGGAGTTTTCTTTATAAGTTATAAGAAGGCATAATTTTGTAACCATAAATCAACAGTTTGTTGTTGGTAAATGAAATGAATACACCCACAATACTGCCCTATTTAGTATTATAAATAAATCAGCTGAACTTTAGGCACTCAAAATTACATGCATTAGGAACAGGAGCTATATTTTGCAACGGGTTTATTCGAAAGTTCACTCTTAGAGATACCAATAGCTTTGATATAGATTTGAGATTTCATCTACCGGCCTTACTTTTTGAAGTGAAAGTTAGTCAGGAAAGTCAGCTTGGTGTCCTTTCAAATGTGGATTCCGAGACTAAAATGTAGATAAACCAACGGGTCTCACCGTATACTACGATGACTGTAGTATTAAAAAGAAGACCATGAAGTCCACTTCGCAGCCCTAGCTGGAGATTTCGCCAAAAGAAGGAACGAGAATACTAGTCGAGCTCGGGAAAGAGTGCATTAAGCTAAGACAAGCTGTGGGAAATGGAGCCCGTAGAAAGTATTGGTAAGCAACTTACTTTATCTAAAAAGTCAGACAAATTGAATGCGAATCGCATTCATTATTTATAGCCATCTGTTTTGGAAAGATACATTTCAGAATCTTGCTATCAGCCTTAAGTAATGGCCACAACCAGATAGAGTAGTAGTGCTAACCACTTTTTGCCTAAGAAATCAGATAAAAAGTACACATAATTTTTTTTAGCTTATTCTTGGATTCCTTACATATAACCTATCCTCTACTTCCAAGTCACTTATATTATACAACAGGCAGAAGATAAAATATCTTACCGCGTGAAACCCGTTCGGAAATTGACCAGTTAAAACCTCTACTACTAGGAATAGAACTTTGCCAAGGGTGAAGAGCTTACTGATTTTTTTACGATTTACCTTGGTATCAAGTGTTAGTTACTTACTATCGCTTGCCAAGCTAACCTGAGGCCCAACCATTGTATGGTAAACCGCAACAAGACAGCAAGTTGCTGCTATCGTTCTGCCTAACCTTACAAGCTCATCAACCTTGTAATTTCATCCAATTCAGCGATGGCTAGCTACCCAAATTCTAAAAATGAAGTAAATCGATGCCAACGTTAGTGAGACTA